TAACATGCAGTTTGATCATTCCAGAGTCATCCGGGGGCTGCAGGAAGGTGACTTAGACTGGTACGAAATGAAGCTTACATGAAAACTGGTTAAGGGTTCAAAGCACATCAGCTCTGAAGTATTAATCTTAACACCCAGACATAAACGGGGAGGTATGATCTGCACAGAAATACTTTAAATTGTTTTCAGCATGTTCTTCAGGATCTTGCACGTGTTTAGCTGCTGGCGGTGCACGCGTGCATCCTCTTCGCCACGTCGTACACATAGGTGATGTCCGGTCGCTTCTCTGGGTCTGGGTTGATGCACATGTTGACCAGCTGTCGTAGTTCCTCCGAGTAGTGATCTGAAGGGAGAGGGAGGTAGTCACACTGCTCTATCTTCTTGCACAGCGAGTATAAGTTCATTTTGTCGCCGTAGAAGGGACTCTGCAAGGCGGCCATCTCATACAGTAGACAGCCAAGAGACCAGATGTCAGATTTGAAGTTGTATCCATTTTCATGTATTCTCCCTGGAGACATGTAATAAGGTGTACCCACTAAAGAATGTGCAGCTGTGGTTTTAGAGCTGAAAAACCGGCCAAGTCCAAGGTCTCCCAGTTTGACCACCCCAGTGGCTGTGATGAATACATTAGCTGGTTTTATATCTCTGTGCATGACTCTTTGAGAATGCATGTGTTCCAGTGCACTGCACAGCTGAACAAAGTCCTTCCAGACAGTTCTTTCGGGAATTAGCCTCTTTTGCTTCTTAAAATGCTTTATCATTCTGGATAGATCACCAGCATCTGCTAATTCCAAAACTATGTTTAGTTCATTATCTTCAATGAATGATGCATAATATTTAATTACATTTGGATGGTTGAGTTGCTTAAGGAGATCTATTTCTTTGATGCAATCAGCATGTGCTTTGGCATCCATTAAATCAAATATCTGCACTTTTTTTAAAGCTACTGGTACTCCATCCAAGAGACAGGCTGCTCTATAAACTTCACTAAATTGTCCACAACCAATTTTCTTTTCTATTCGAAAGTTGGCTAATGTATTATAGCCCATATCCGGTCGTAAGGCCTTCTGCGGCTGGAACTGAGGAACAGGCTGCCCTTGCATTCCTTGTCATTGCTCATCCATCGTCTGAGGCAAGAGGAACTTTAAAACTCAGGAAGTCGGGAGTTTTCCGTTCTCCTGCCCGCGAGGCACCCGGGGCGGGCGGGCGGCTGAGCCGCCGCGCAAAGGCTCGCTGGGCCGGGGGCTGCGGCTACGAGGCCCGGAGCCGACCAGCCACCTCCCGCCGCGCCGCCCCCGCGGACGCTGCAGGCGCGGGCACCCACCCTGCCCTCGGCGAGGCGCGTCCAGAGTTCCTAAGTGGAGCATTTTGTATGCTTCCATTTTCCCTCCTTTCTTAGCATATCAATTATACTTCTTTTGTTACCTTTTTCAGTGGTTGCCCTAGAGTTTGCAATATACATTCATGACTAATCTAAGTCTACTTTCAAATAAGTCTGCACCACTTCATGGGTTGTGTGAGTACCTTGCAATAAAGGAATCCTAATTCCTCCTTCCTGTCTCTTGTATCGTTGCTGTCATTCATTTCACTTATACACAAGCGTAATTCCTTCATTGAAGCATTGCATATGGAATTTCTGTCATCCACTTCACTTATACATGAGCAAATACAATATAAACAGTAGCATATGTAATGGAATACATTTTGCTACGCTTGTGGGAGAGCTGTTAGATGTGAGTTAAATTAAGAATAAGAAAAATATAAGTTTTTATTTTATTTTAACACATATCTCCTTTGATGCTCTTACTATCTTTATGTGGATCTCAGTTTGTGACCTATATCATATTTCTTCTCTCTAAAGAAAATTTTCCCCCATGTCTTCCAAGGTCATCGAATTCCCTTAATTTTTCTTTATCTGAGGAATTCTTTATTTCACAGGGTAAAGAATTGTATGCTGGGTCCTTTTTCCTCTCAACATTGTAAATATTTCAGTCCATTCCCTTCTTGCTTGCATGGTTTCTGAGACCTCTAATGTGATTCCTATCTTTGTTCCTCTGTACATCATGTGGTTTGTCTCCATCTGTCTTCTTTTGGGATTTTCTCTTTGTCTTGTATTTTTTGCTGTTTGATGATATGCCTAGGTGTAGCATATTTTTGTTTGTTTAGCATTTATCCTGCTTGGTGTTCTATGAGCTTACTGGATGTGTAATTTGGTGGTTGACATTAATTTTGGAAAGTTTTAAGTTATTATTTTCAAAAATTTTTTTCTAATCATTTTCCCTTCTTCTCCTTATATTTCCTTCATGCACAGTTACATGTTTTGTATGCCCCACAGTCCTTAGTTATTCCCTTTTGTTATTTTCTTGAGTCTTTGTTCTATTTGCTTTTCAGTTTTTGATGTTTCCATTGATATAACTTCAAGCTCAGAGCTTCTTCCCTCAGCCATATCCATCTCCTAATAAGCCCATCAAAGGCATTCTTCATTTGTGTTACAGGGTTTTGATCTCTAGCATTTCCTTTTTTTTTCCTTAGGATTTCCAGCTCTCAGTGTACATTGGCCATCTTCTCTTGGATACTTTCTGTTTTATCTACTAGCACGCTCAGCATTTTAATCATAGTTGTTTTAAATTCCCAGCCAGATAATTACACCATCCCTGCCATGTCTGATCGGATGCTTGCTCTGTCGCTTCAAACCATGTGTTCTGCCTTCTAGTATGCCTTGTAAGATAGCCAGGCATGATGTACCAGATAAAAGTGACTAATGCAAATAGGCCTTTAGTCATGTGATGGTAAAGTGTGAGGGAAGGGAAGTGTTCTATAGTGCTGTGATTACGTCTCAGTCATTACTGAGCCTATGCCCCTGTACTGGAAACTTCACAAAAGTTTCTTGGTGTTTTCTTCCCTCATAGGTGAAACAGGATGGGTACAGCAAGCTGTAGTTTTTGTATTTCCCTTCTCCTGGAAGGCTAGTGCTGACTGTAGTTGGGTATTTTCCTTTTCTTTGGTTTGGCTCTGATAATACCCCAGCAGGTGGGACCCTTGTTAACTAGTTCCTCCTGAGGATAGGCCTCGTTAAGGAGAACAGAGTGCCTTGGCATATTTCAAAATTGTTCCTTCCCCACCCCGCCCCAGCTGGAAGTATGAGTGGATTTTCCTGGCATACTCGCTGTGGGTACCTGGTTGAGCTCATGGAGGTAAATCTGGCAATATTGTGAGGGGTTCTCCATGACTGGGTTCCCTGGAGGTTTGAAAAATCAGAGTTGTCCACACAAAGCCTCCAGCAATTAGCCAATGACAGGCCAGGATTTCCTATCCTGGCATTGGTTCCTTTGGCAGTTTCCACTCATGAGTCCCTGCTCAGGTAAGACATAACTCGGTGTATGTGTCTGCCTGTGCAATCTTGGAGGTAGTGGTTTGCCCTTTGTAATCCTATCTCTTATGGGTGAAAGAAATGTCCCTGATTTTTCTGTCTGTTCACATTTTTATTTTGTTCTTAGGATGCAGTGGTAACTTCCAGAATCCTTACATGTGGAAATAAAACCACAGAGTCTACAAACATTTTATATTCACACCAATCAGAAAGAGATACATATGAGTAAATATTTAACAAATCTTACCTTAGAAAAGTTTCTAATTACTTGAAAGGGTAGACTGCTATTATTCATTATAGAATGCCATATAAAATGTTACAATGACTACATTCGTGTAACAATTTAGTTATTAACTGTAAGCTGAATCATAAGGCTGTTCTATTTCATTCAATGTAAAGTGAAAATGCCCTCCTCCTTTTTCTAGTGAACATGCTTTGAAACTAACATTCGTTCTAAATGAGAGCGGCCCCTGCACTGCAAGGGCCCTGTCCAGAGGTCAACAGGCCAGGAACCACCCCATGCCAGGTGGAGGAGCCCCAGGGTGGTCCACACCAGGGCAGGGGAAGGAAAGCAGGCTCTGTGGGGGAACACACTGTGGAGTCAGCCAGCAAGTGGCAGAATCCTACCTAGAACAGGAGGCCTTTTCCAGCGAGGTCCGGACCCGCGGAACACTAAGCCGTCCCTGGTAAGGGTACAGGCGCGTATACCAAAAGCACACAGGCATGGGAGGGGGTGACTGAGCCGCCAACCTTAGGAGGATGGCTGCTCCTCGGGCAGGGCCAGGGCCAGCTGGAAGGAGCCCGGAGGCAAGGCACTGAGGAGCAGCCCTTTCGCCCGCCTCACGGCCCCTCATGTCCGTCGTCGCTGACCAGGCCGAGGACCTGCTGAGCCCCTGCTCAGGGCCCAGCTACACTGAGAGGTCCGCAGGTGGACGGCTTCCCTGCAGGGGGCGTGGCTCCTCGCGGCTCCGCCTCCCGCATGCGCACCGTGCCAGCCAAGCAGCGAAGCCGGCTGCTATCGCGAGAACACAGGCCTTCTGAGGAGCGTCGTTCTCGTGGTGCCGGAGTCGCCCACGTTCTCTGAGGGAGCACAGTCAGAGTCAGTGAGGTGACTCACAACTGGGTGGAGAGGTGGAGGAGGCAGGGCCCCATGGCCCCAGGGGACAAGGGTGTGGAGACCAGCAGGGCCCGGGCTGACCTCTGACGAAATGTCCCCAGCGTCGCCTGAGGCCAGGGTCTCGGCGAAGCCACTGAGGGTGGTCCGGGAGCACCCTCAGTGGCCTGAGGGTCCTCAGGGACTCTGAGGCTCACTGCTGGGCTCTGTGTGTGGGTGGAGGGGGGTAAGGGGAGCGGCTGGGGGCGGCGAGGCCCAACCCGGATCTGTCCCTCCTGCGCGGCTACCATCATAACTGGACACTCGGGTCCCGCGGGGTCCCTCTGGCGTGCGCGACGGCGAGTGGGCAGGGCCCGCACCTGAGTGTCCGGAACAGGTGCAGATCCGTTCATTTCCCATCCGGAGGGCTGGAAGGATACGGAGTCACTCCAAGGTCGCTGTCCCCCGACCGACCGGCAGACAGGGCGTCCCTAGGGCCCCACTTTGTCCCAAGGGCGCGGTGAGGGGAAGGCAGAGGGGACTGAAGTTGGGGTGTGCGAGGCAGGGGCGCGCTCTGTGGCCACAGCCCGGGACGGGAAGGGAAGGGATGGGGCGGTGTGGGACTGGACGGGACCGGGTGCTGGCACCATCTTCCTCGTCCCCTTCTGCCGAGACAAGAGGCACGAGGCGCGCCAGCCCCACCCTTGTTGAACCCGAAGAGCCTCGCCCTCACCCGCGGGCTCTCACTTAACCGGTCCCCGTTTCTGTAGTGTGTCTTTGCGCTCACAAGGGTCAGGAGTCCTCTCTAGCGTCTGAAGACAGCCAGCCATGGCGCCCCCGGGAAGGAAGCGCATCGGGAGGGCTGCCAAGGCCCCGGTGGAGGCTCAGGTTATGGCAGCCTATGACGTTCCGCGTGGAGGTAAAAGTGCACCAAGGGGCAAGGGGCAAGGGGCGAGGGGCGGCGGGTGGGGCGAGGGGCTCCATGAAGGCTGTGCCAGTCTGAGGACACGGTCCGTCTCATCTCGTGGCAGGCCGAGCGCGCGGGCGGCCCGGGGCCCCGTCATTGCTTTGGATTCCACCATGTAAACCCTCCAGAGCCCTAGGTTTTTTCTCAAGCAGGTTCGTGCTCCCACCCCATAGCACAGTTACAGAAGCTCTTAGCCCAGCTCCTCTGGACGGGTGCAGCCCTTGCTTCAACGTGTCTGATAGGCAGTACACGGTTTGCTGTGACTGTAACGCCCAAAGGCTTGCAGAAGTGCCTCGGTGAAATGGTCTCCGACCCTGGCCTCATTTCACGCGACCTGCACCTAAACGGTTCCACCTATAGGTCTGCTTTGCAGCTCTTGGTGACCAAGAGCCCAGGAATTCCACCAATACAACATGCCTCCCGCGTCCTTCCTTTAAACATCTTTGTCCTTTTTGCTTTCAATGCAGCAAACAATCCAGGAATTGGTGACGGTGGAGAAAACAGCCCCTTTTCAGGCACACCTGAGCAAGATGTGCGGTAATGTGTTTAGAGTCATTTTTGCCTGGCAGTAAAGTAATTAAGGAAAATCAGCTTCCACTCATGTGGCACGTGTTGTATGTAAAGTACTTGGCAGAAGACATTTCTTCTAATGCACGCATGGTATTTCACTGACCAACAACGTAAAAGTGAATGTAATTTCTTCACAGGAATGAGTTACAGAATATGCTGGAGAGATTCGAAGGTATGTTTTAGGAGATATTTGTAGGTGAAGACACTTTTCATAAACCATATATCTTTCACAGCAGGAACCGTCAATGAGTGCATCGCACTCCTGTTATTTACTGCCTTGTTCTCAGGTACAGGATGTTACATAAGTCTTGAGTGTGATTCAGCTCCATAGATTACTTACCCCTTTGAATCGTTGATGTGAAGAGAATGATACTAACAGTGGTACCATCACTGGTGAGAGCGATGCTTTTATTTGATGCACTGTGGAATATTGAAAGAAATTGATGAAATAATCTCTTCCACATTGTGCCACGTAGCGAGTCCTAGATCCAGTTTTAACGTCAATGTTTCATTTCCCGTGTCGGTTATTTCCCATAACTTTCCAATTTCTTTTCCCTGGGTGGCAGCAGTGCCGGTGGAGACCTCTAAAATACCTGCTTATCGTTATATTTACCTTAATAACCCCTATAGTGGAGAACGAAATACAACATGGCTACCATGGAGTGATGTACGATCAGAGTCAATGGCAAGTTTTAAATGAACATGTCAGATGTCAGTTACCTTACCTGTGTTAAAGGACATAGTCTTAAGTGTCAGAGTCAATTTTTGACTCCTCTGTGTGAATAATTCATACGAACAGGTAAGTTTTGATAACGTCGCTCAATTTGGTCATGACAATGTGCTTGATTTATGAGCTGTCTTATAATTTCATTAATGTACATGATAAACTATATTTACAAAGTATTTGTAGAATGATGCGGTTCATTCATGATTACTGGAAAATGAGTATTGATGGTAGGTCTGTAACAGAGAGGCAGTCATAGGCTTAGCAAAGCATTATTTTGAAGTATTAAAAATGTTTATGATTTTAGTAAATTTGAATTTTACAAAATGCAACCTTTTGATGACAATGATATGCAAAAACCTCCGTGAAATGATGTGGAAACTGTTCTTGAATAAATTTTCTCGTTTCTTTGTCATTTAGTCTAATGTATTCAAAAGGCTCACTGGCTAAATTAAATTTTTTATTCATTTTTCATGAAATTATCTGTGTGGAAACAGAATAGTTTCCAAGAGCATATTTCAGTGGGTATCTATTGCAATGCAGGGGACATGAAAAAAGTTCTTCATGCAAAGAGAAAAAGTTTCAAAATGAATACCAATGCTTCTGTCAACACCATGCAGCAGACAATTGAGCATGTTTGGAAAACCCATCAAGAGCAAAGGTAAGGTTGTTGGAAATTTAGAGCAAAACCATTTGTCTCATTTCTTAGTATTCATGAGT